AAACAATTTCTTGGGGATAAGAAAGGCTAAGATACTTGTGGTTGAGTATAACCAAAAAAGATCGGAAGCCTGTATCTGCCTCAGCATGGGATCCTTACCGGGCATTGCCGACTCAAAGGGCACCTTAGTAAACGGATAGTAGTAGAAGATGGTGAGTGCAGATTCTGTGAGGAGGACGAAACCTCCATTCAAATTTTGACTGAATGTATAGGAGTATGCCAAATAGAAGATAGCGATCTTACCTAACTTGAAGCTACTCGAAATTCTAAACTTCCTTGAGAAGGCATTGATACTATTTCCTTGCTTTATTACGGACAGAACACAATAGATCTTTTAGCTCGCAATGTATTAATACCCCATACCTAACATAACATAACGAACTTGTTGTACCCTATTTGAACAGTCAGAAATGTATTGCGATAATTAACCTCAAATCCAGAAAACATTGATTAAATTAATGGATTGTAATGTAACGAATAAAATTAAAATATTAAATTTACCTTTATCTTAAAACGTTTCCGAAAATTTAATTTCTTTTAAGGTTCAAATTAAGGTTTGGAAATTTGTATTGCACCTAGCTCTATTTCAGACAACCAGCAACTTAAAAAGATTAAAACTAAGAGCATCCAATGCCATCTTCTCTGTATATCTAGATTCATGTCTACAGTCTGTTCGCTATACTTACGCGGGTTTCGGATTAACAAAATTATGCAAATTAGGTATTGACAACTAGTTCCAAAAAGCCTCTTTCCAAGAAATTAGGTAAAATTGCCCTAATGGTCAGATTTAAATTAAAATAACATTAGGGTAGGTACTAAATTTGTTATAAATATTGCAGTTGAATTGATTCTTTGCAAGTGTTGACATTGTATGTATATTGTAAATTTAGTGGAAATTTTAAAAATGGCTAGACGTGTGTTAGATGTAGATAGTCTAATTTGTAGTGTACATAAGTATTTTACGGATAAAAATGAAAATGGCAGTCCTTTAAAATCGGAATGTCTGTACAACAACGCGTATGCGATGCTTTAGTGAAACCAAATTAAGAGGAGTATTACAAAATCACAATAGTGAACTGCCGAAAGAAGATCACCGCAAAACTCGCCCATCAATGAAAACGAAAGATATTCCAGATGGAAAGAAATTTGAAATTCGTGATACCATTTATCGAATGAGGACCAACAAGGAACATGTGACCTTAAATACAATTCTCTCGGAATTAATAGATACAAAATTTGACGACATTGGCAGAACAAGTCTATGGCAAGTGATACATAACTTGGGTTTCAAATTTCCAAAGGAGGATAACAGGAAGGCCCTTCAATTTTTTTATTTTTCATTTGAAATTCTCTACATGGAACAAATTTTTATGTTAGAAGATATGTTATTTGAGCTAAATAACCCTCTTATTATACATAGATCATATTTTCTGTATGAAGTGTAATATAAAATTATTATTAGGTTTATAATAGCCACATTAATGAAGAAGTTTAATTCTGCTCTCAATTATACAAAAGATTCTCCATTATTATTTAATTAAAAGTTGTACATTATTTTTCATTTCATTTAACCAGTTGATATTTCCCCAAAGAACAGGTCAAACTTTCGGGTACTTACCTGGAAATACTCATAAAAATTTTAATCCGAAACCCGCGTAAGCATAGCGAACAGACTGTAAGTATCTTGTCGACTTACACTATAGTATTCTAGGATTGTTTAATACCAATGGTATGTATTCTTCTGATCTTTTATTAATGAAGTTAATCTGAACTGTTTTAGTTTCGTTGAGCTTAATACGCCATCTTTTTGTCCACTCATAAATTATATTAGTTACCTGTTGAAGTCTTCTGGTCAATTTTTCTATGATTTTACCAATGGCAAGTTTGGTTGTGCCGCCCTAAAATGTAACTACCTTCACATTTTGCGTTTGTGATATGTTGGAAGTAAACAGCAGGTAAAGAACTGGTCCCAGGACCCCTTCCTTGAGGTACTTGTGCCTTAACTTAATCTGTCAAGTAGGAATTTAAGATGTTATATAAAGTTTAATTCTACTATACATTTATAAGTTTTAAGTTAAATGAACGTCTTTTAAGTACATAAATTGTATATCCTCTGCTCAGTTGGCTATAGAGTACTCTTTGTATTTGTACCATCTCATCATATTGCATCCTAATTATTTTTTTACCAGATTATCCGAATCTATTACCTACACATATACATCCCTCAATATTTTATGTACTACAATAATCTGTAATGGGTTCGAAAGGACTTAACCGTATACACTAACAGCTCGGAATTCTACTCTTTCTCCAGATACTGATGATATGATGTTGATTTACACTTTTGATCCAGTATCTATGTGTATAATTCCCAACATTTAAATCGCCTACCTTACAACGCTGTCATATGCATTTTCCTATTCAATAAATACTATGTGCAAATCCTTTTGTCTACTTTCGCATTTATTCATATCAATTATTCAAACAATTAAAATCGTAACTGGTGTTTGTTCTAACTCGATACAAACCATTCGGTAACGGTACAACGCATGCGTATTTATATCCAAGCTCACTCTCACAATCTGTGAGTTCATAGAGAATTCGTTCCAACTAAAAAAAATGGATGGTATTATTAAATATTGAGGTTAACTTAACCTACAAAATGAAACGGCTTTGATAGATACTAGCTCAATAAAACTGTTTGGTTTTCCAAGAAAAGATTGAATAGAAAAATAAATTATTTTTATTGTCTTTATTTTGCGGACCATTTTCTCATTTCATCAACAGTTTTAAAAGCATTCGGATTTCAAAACCATTGCGCATTGTGCTTGTACAATATACATCGTTCATGAACCGGGAACAGTACCTTAGTCACCTCTCCCTTGGAATTCAGAGATTATTTAACTCCATCAAAATCAAGTTAGTTTCTTCTTATCGATTTTAACATTTAACAATATCCATTTATTCATTTGCTAACATCTGAAGTGATGTGGGTTTCTAAAATTTGCATGATTATTTATACATTTTCTCTTGTCATCAAATAAGTACCCCGTCTTTGTAAGTTTGTGTGATTAAATAATGTATTCATCTTTAAAGTTTATTGTATTGTAATTAGCTTGTTGGTTATTTAACGAGCGACAAGCCCAAATATTTATCACAGACAGGCCCAAAAGAGCAAGACTAGATACGGAATTTTTTTTCGTAGATGTCACAGTTTGACACAAAATTAAAGTGAATTTGTTTTTTCTGGTATTTTGGTGGTACCGGACAGTTGTGCTATTTTTTAATTTAAAATTCGCTTGTTTCAAGATTTTAATAAAAACAACTTTGTTGTTGTTTAAAACGTATCCATGAGTAAAAAAATATCGCAATAGAGTCCGTAGAGAAGGCAGAAATAACTTGTTAATACTATACAGGATTGGAATTATCAGGAAAAACTTGTCAAGAAAGAGAAAGTTATTAAGTCTAACCACGTTTAGTAGAATGCTGGTGGAAATAGAACAGGGGCAGATCATCAAATGGTTAAACTAGTGTTGGTATCAGGACATAAAGGTATCTATGCAAGTGAAAAGGCTGATGAGCTCGCCAAAGAGGGATCAGAATTACCGTTCTATCAAGCAAAACATCAAAAAGACGGGCAACAAATAAGTTGATACAGAATCAGTACGCTTGTGCTAAGGAGACAAAAAACCCATGCATGGTTGTTGCTACTACAGCCCGACAGACTGCACATACTAACGAACACTTCTTGCTGTAACACCTTCATGTGATGGGACTACACAATGATCTCATGACGCGACGTGGAAGAGGAAGGAATCTCATACCAATGATCGCTCTAGCCAGGCGGCGATACATCGTTTTCGGCATAGAACTGCAAAGAGCGCTCCAGGAACACTTGACAGGGACTCTAGTAAAACTAACCTAAGACACAGAACTAATTATACAACTATGAATGAGGAAAAAAACAGGGGAATGGAATAGACCCGCTGTGGTCTCTACAGGAAGAAACGAGGTTTTTAGTGAGATTTGAGTCTAAAATTGAACGAATTGTCCTCTGATTATGCATCAAGAATGGAAATGATAATAATTAAGCCATTTGATTTCTTAGGAAATAGTGACCAAAGGGAGTGACACCGACTCGTCTAAAACAATTATTTGACATAACCTGCAGAGGCGACTCATGGCCTAGTTTACGAAGAGGCTGGCACACCCTATATACCTAATACAAATATATTTTTATTAGAATACAATGTAATATTTCTGATTTTTGTATTTTAATAGAAATATATATTTATATTAAGCCTTTCAAAAGTAGCCTCCGTAGCCTCCTCTTAGCTTAGGCCACGAGCCGCCTCTGAATTAACCTGATTGTTCAATGGTGCAGAATAGTGGTTGGTATGTTATTTTTTGAGAGAATGCTGGATTGCTTTCTTTAGGAGTTGGATTAGACCATGTTTCTGAATCCTCAGTTGATGAAAGGTTCAAGGTCTTCAAAAGTATTCGGATGTCAAGTATAGGGTTAGAAGTAATTTAAAGTAGGTCGTTGAGATGTAATAGGAATAGTGTTGGGGGTCAAATATGAGTTTTGAGGTTCTTATTCATTGAATTTGTTGTAGAAAACAGAGGAGTAGTTCCTATGCCTCAAGTGATGATTATTGCTTTACCGGTGATATCTTTAATGTCTGTGACCTAGATGCCTCTCCTCTTCGCAAAGGGTTATAACCGCCACTGGTACTTCTGCATCAATTAATACGCAATTACTAGAGATACAATATTTTGTTATTGTGTGCAATAACGTCGGAACCGCCCCGTCTTTAATTACGATAATTCTACCATGATTTTAACTGGTATTAAAACTGTAACTTTGAATTTTTTGAATATACCTACAATAGTTTTGCATCCAGCCAACGAAATAACATTCCAAACATATGATTAATATTTCTTTTTTATTTTCAGTTCAAAATGTAGCCGCCACAAGTGTAACAAATTCGCCAATCGAAAATGACGTCGTCGACCATTTCCCAACACTTGCCGCATGCCGCGTTGACGCTTCCTATATCGATAGCGACGCCCTCTCGTGACTCGATGACTTTTACTAGCACAAAGGGCCTGCTTAATGGACCAGGACAGAATAATTGCTTTCTCAACAGCGCCGTACAGGTGAGTCATTAGCCCTTCTTTTTGTTTCCGTTACAGGTCTTTTATGCATCTACCTTGAAGTCGGAGTAGTCAATAAATATAAACAGGCATATATTGAAAAATAAAGGATAACGTGTTACGGTTTCAAATTTCCTAGTAAATATTACTCTTCAAACTAGTGAGAAAAATGCACCTCTTATGCAAATGAAACGTTTAATATTAATATTTAAAATTTATATAAAATATCCTGTAAAGAGAATAAATCTAAAGCCTGATGACATTTAATAGAGTAGTTTCACTCCCCAGCTGATTCTGGTTACCTGAAATTTAAAATAAAACATACCTATAATAACCTTCTTTAATTAGATGTTCCATGATAATATTCTGTTAATTATATTACTATATTCTTCTGTTCATTTTTCCTCTTGTCGTTGATATTTTCTATCCTAAAATAAGTAATAATAATTCTAGTTATTTTAATAATAGATAGGGTTTGTTTAATATTGTGTCATTGTCATTCAATCCACCAGATTGACAAGATTTGGTTCTGGGTGAACTAAAGTACAGTTAGAACTTATTAGACAAAGCTAGACAATGGGCATATACTATTCATTTTTTAGAAATAGAAAGAGATGATAGGTACCTCTGTTCAACATTTTTAAAGAGAACTTGGACTCTGACTTTCAACCTTTTTTTGGGGGTTGATTTGGGTCACTTTCTAACACGACTTGCTAGGCTGCAGAAGGCTCTGTAACTACTTTTTTGAAGAGGATTCTGCAAGTCCATTTAGAACCCAAAAATACTATTTGGAGGTTATTTATTCTTGTCCAATTTGTTGGATAGGGGATAAACCTAAAAATTAGGGATACTGATTACCCAAATAATATTAGATATTACAATAAGGCCACTCACCATCTTAGGTAAGTCTCTTTGAAATTGTAAGATTAATATAAAAAGCTTCGATCACTTTTGTTATGTTATTTTCTTATTAAATATTTAATTAATTTATCTACTTACATGAAATTGTTAGATATTCAGAAACATAGATAGTTTTCACCCTTTTAGGCCTGCAAGTTTCACGTTAACTTTTTGTTAACTACAAATTCCACTCAACTTCACATCGACTCCTCGCTAACCACTAGTTTTACATTTAACTTATCGATAACTAGTTTTCTGGAACATATATACCAACTCTGTGATTTGGGATTAAACAGATTGATATAAATCTCTTGGTAACTTCACTACAGCGGCCAGTACCAGTTTTCAGTACACGTATTGAATACCTGGATGATCCTGGAAGAAAAACCATAGTTACCAGTTATTTAATCAAATAAGGAACACCGGACTTACCGAATATCCTTCAGGAATATTAAGGTAGGACCTTCCCATATTATTAGGCCCACAATACATCCAGGGTAATCTTCATTCGGACCATCCAGTTAATACACTGTCTGTCCACAAATTTAGATAGTGAATATCAGTTGTTTGTTTGAACCATTCGATTAATCATATATTAGTAGCCTACTAATCGTTTGTAAATATATATAATCGTTTTTAAAGCAGGGTTTGGCCCTCATATCGGTTAACTTTTCTGTATTTAAATTTTTTTATAGGTTATTTAATTAGTATTGTATATTGCAAATATTTACCTGTGAACCAAAAGTACGTACTTGAGGGGCAACTACCCTATTCATAATCAGAATTGTCTTGATAAAAGTTACACGAAGATTTTATATTTTTTTGTATATATTTGTCATTATAACCTCACAATTGAATACGCAGTACGCACGAGGTCGATTTAAGATTTGACATCCGGGGGTCGATTCTCGACTCGTAGGAATATTTTCCTATAGGAATTTTTGACATTTTTATATACATCGAAAATTTATGACAGTTTCCTACATATAGGAAAGTGTCACAAATTCCTATAGGAAAAGGTTCCTACAAGTCGAGAATTGACCCCCTGGTCATAGAAATATATAATTAAAGGAACACAATACTCCATTTAGCCCAGGCTTTTTATTTACATTAATTATAACCCGACCCCTCCTGGCTGAGCTTATAGTAAACTTTCTTTCTTTTTTTATTAGTTATAATAAATTGAACTTTATAATAACTAAGTTGGAATTTAAAATCCAGAATAACAAGTCCGTAAAAATACAGGATAACAAACGTTATTGGAAGTACTAATGGATTCGGTTCATTGATTAAATAGGGTGAGTAGTTTCAGCATCTAGGAGCCGTCAGCAGACATAAAAAGTTAAAATGTGACCATGTGAAAATTAAATAATTTTCAGAAAGTGTCTGACTGAATAAAAAAATATTCTAGAATCAAAAAAAGTCCAATTGATCATATAAAATTGGGTAGTTTGAAAAAATAATATTAATTATATTAACTCAACAGGTTTTTGTGATATTAGAAGGATCTTTTTTCTTTTCTACATTTTCATCTAGTCAATTCAAACATGACTACCTACTCCAAGTTTGAATCAATATTAAAATTACAACGAAAGTGGGGAGAAAAAGAAAAGGGATAGGGAAACAAAAAAGGCAATACATCTCTATAGACTTCATAAAAATGTGATATACCATCATGTACTATTTTTGACGTTTGAGAAAAGTGGATGACAGGGAAGAGAGAGAAGCAAATCTAAAGAGAAAAACTAATATAAAAGGTCTTTACAAAAACATAATAATATGCGATTTGGTATATTGGTAGAGTTTTATGTGGCAAAAAAATGGTATTAAAATTTTGTCCGATAATAATACATAGGCGTAGAACTTGGTTTTTTAAATAACTGCACCTTTAAAAATTCTACGCCAATGGAAGAAAAGGAGTTTAAGTATGAAATTTAGATTGCGCAACTCATTTACTTTAGAAAAGGTACTCTTGATAAGACTCGATTACTCTCATGGTTTTCGCTAAATTTCTGTTTTAATAATTTAGAGTGTATAGGTTTCACAAAAATATTTATTTACAACATGATCAAAATAGAGATTTTACAAAAATTGTTCAAAATGTTCACCATTTTCACGCATACAAAGATTTATACGTCGAAGAAAATTAAAATGTATCCTTTACATAACTTCTTCATCACCTCTAAGATTGTTTATTGCATCTTGAATACGTTGCCAGAGTTGTTCCTCATTTTCTACAGGTTCCCTGTAAACTGTGGATTTCAGATGTCCCCATAAAAAGTAATCCATCGGTGTTAGCTCTGGGGAACGTGGTGGCCAGTTTACAGGTGCGTCATTACCTCTGCCTATCCATTTGTGTGGATATTGTTCATTCAAGTGGTTTCTAACGTTTAAAGAAAAATGTGGTGGAGCTCCATCTTGCATAAACCACATATATCTCCGAAGTTGGAGAGGTAAATCTTCTAACAATTCTGGCAACGTATTTTGTAGAAAATCCAAATAATTTTCTTCAGTTAATCTTCGTGGAAGTATGACAGGACCAACAATGAAATTACCAATTATTCCAGCCCACACATTAATTTTGAATTCGTGCTGAAAATGGTTTACCTTTATTGCATGCGGATTTTCAACGGCATAAACATGTTCATTATGGGTATTAGTTATACCTCTTCTTGTAAAACCCGCTTCATCGGTAAAGAGAACCTTCTTGACAAAGTTTGGATCTCTTTCTCTTTGCATATTAACAAATCGACAAAAACCCAAACGAATTTGAGGATCATAGACTAATAATTCTTGTACTGGCTTCTTATGGTATGGATATAGCAATTGTTATCTAAGTACTTTATGAACGACATCTTTACTTACTCCTAGTTCCCTTCCAATTCGTCTGGTGCTTAATTCTGGATCTTCTTCAACACGTTCTAAAATGTCTTCTTCAACTTCAGGAATCCTTGCAAAACGTTCTCTTCCATTATCAACAGTGTTGGGAGCAAAGGAACCGGTCTCCCGAAGACGTCTCCCAACAGCGGCAAAAGTTGGGTGGCTAGGTACACGACGATTTGGAAGCCTTTCAGAGTACACCCTGACACTCTCTCGCGCATTTCCTTCACAAAATCCTAATGTCAGTAACATATCGGTATATCTGCATTGGTATATTGTACAGCCATATTAATAAACCACGCATTTGTTTTTTTTTATTATTGAGTCAGATAGAACACTTTCAATTGTTAACAAGAGATTAGGTGTTAAAACTTGACAATATTTTTATTTAGATGAAATTATGGAAACCAACAATAAATGTTTTTGTATACGTATTGCAGGCAAATAATTAATATTCCTCAAAAAATCGTACATGGCAAGAATCGAGTATTTTTGTTAAAAGTCTCGATTAGAGGTGTTGAAGAAGATATGAAAAAAGTACATTTTTATGTTTTTCATCGTATAAAATTTTGTCCGATGATAATACATAGGCGTAGAACTTGATTTTTTAAATAATTGCACCTTTAAAAATTCTACGCCAATGGAAAAAAGGGGTTTGAGTATGAAATTTGGATTGGGTACTCATTTACTACAAAAAAGTACCCTTGATAACACTCGATTTACTCTCATGGTTTTGACAAAGTTTGTATTTTAATAATTATTGTTTATGTTCTAAAATTACTAAAATGCAAATTTCGTCAAAACCATGAGAGTAATCGAGTCTTATCAAGAGTACCTTTTTTAAAGTAAATGAGTTGCGCAATCTAAATTTCATACTCAAACTCCTTTTCTTCCATTGGCGTAGAATTTTTAAAGGTGCAATTATTTAAAAAATCAAGTTCTACGCCTATGTATTATCATCGGACAAAATTTTAATACCATTTTTTTACCACATAAAACTCTACCAATATACCAAATTTCAGCAAAATCGTATATGCCGTTTTAAATTTATATGGGAAAAACGATTTAAAAATTGTAACTTCAAGGCCCTCTGGAGCCCAAACGAAGCAACTTTGTACTAAGGTAATTTTACTTAAATCGACTTATTTTGGTCTAAGGAATATGTGGTATGTTTTTGTAAAGACCTTTTACAGACACCCTACCCTGTATAACAAAAAACATAT